GAAAACTTGCCACATTTGATTTGTAGCATCAGGTTGCGCGATCGGGGCCTGGCGGAGACCCACAGCATATGCAGCGCAGTACCCGCCCGGAAGGCCGGCCCTTGCTGCTTGCTATTTGCTATTTGCTATTTGCTATTTGCTATTTGCTGACTGAAGCAAATCAATCCTTATGAAGTATGGAAGCAAGCAAGGTACCCGACTCATCAGATTTGTGATTTTGATTATTCGGTGTGATTGTATGTGTGCGGACCCTACACGTGTACCCTATACTGTATGTGCAGTCGAGTACGTGTGCACTGCATGGCGGGCTGCATGAAGCAGCAGCGACCACTGCGAGTCCTGAGCGACCTCGGGCGTGAGAATCACAGGCTTGGCGAAAGGCCAGCGAAACGGGCAAGACAAGACGTTTTACCGATGCTCTGAAGTATGGAGCAGCGGCAACTCTCGCCACAACCTGTCTAGCCGAGAGTGCAAGAAGACCGACCAGGGCAGGCGTGCTGCTGCTGGAGATGCGCCCACGCACACAGCAGGTCGCTTCTGCAGCATCGTTAAATCTAGCAGTCGTGAGTTAGGCAGGGGGAGAACAGGCGTGCGACCTGCTGGCCGCTCTGCTCGTCAGCTGCCGCATGCATGCAGCACGGTGGGTGTTGGCTGGCCTTTCGTTAGTTCGCACGCTCGCCTTTAGATAATCCGCTAAGACGGACGCATAACCTTGAGCCTGTGAACCGCCAGCCACGCGTCATCGCAAAAGGCCAGACGCTAATTGTACCGACAGGTCATGTCATTTTCATGGCGCTCCCAACATTCCTGCTCCTCTTGGCTGCTCATCTGCCGCGTCCATGCCGCATGACACCTACTCAAGGCCCGAACCAACGACTTGGGTGGCCCGTCGTTGCTGCTCTCGCGTTCAGAAGCGGTCAACACAGTCACGGGCTTAGTAAACGTTGTTGCCCGCCAAGGCCCGCTGGGCCCAATTTCCTGGATACAGCACCGCGGGCGGGCTCAAGAAAGCCCGGCCACATTCACAGTCCCGCGTTTCGTTGCTGAAGCTCGGTCCAGGCCTTTCTCGCTCAGCTAGGAAGGTGTGGCGCTCGCTCAACACGCGTGCACGCCCAACGCCTCCAAGGCTTCTTGAGAGCATCGAGGGAGGAGGTAGCGAGCCGGCTGACCAGAGTAGAGTTCACGGCGAAGGGGCGCAAAGCTGGGCTGCATGGATCACTCACTCACTGACCCATCCAAGATCATCGTGCCTCGGCTCGGTGAACTGAGTTCGCTCCACTCCACTTTTTGCCATCTCTTTCTCAAGGGCATAGATCGCCTCCCTCTGCTGATCCCGCATCTTCCTTCACCTCTTTTCACCTCTTTTCCCACCAATTCCCACACCTTAATCTTCGTTCTCTTCTGCCCAGCAGCAAAGCCGGATCTTTGTTGTTTGCGCATCTTCGAAC